ACAGCGGCAAAATCAAATCCATGGACAAAAACATCGTCCTGTTAGAAGCATAAGAATGGACAAAAAGACATGTTAAACATTACAAACATGGTAAATATTGGTTAATATTGATTTTCATCCATTATTTTTATGCAGGACAGAAAAGCATACATTACATGGTGTTCATAATCTGTTTACACGTTACAATTATAGAATGAGTCTAACCATAGTAATATGGTTGTCTTCCTACAAATGTAATTAATCAGAGTGCAACGAAGAACTTAGTTGGCCCCCTACCGGGATTTTAATTCACAGCCTTCACACTGTGAGCCACACACTCAAAACAATATTCCACCCAGCTGAATATTTTATGCATATGATGCAAAGTTACCTGACAATGCTGTGCGAGACCATAATGGATAGGGCCTCTGTCGTCTTACAACGAACCGTGGCATCTTCGTCAACCAGCAGTGACCTCAGACACTCTAGACAACCTGTAAACGTAACACATTCATTCCCACCACAGCAAGAACACAGGTTAATGGTTTAGCTTTCTATTTCCACATACGGCACCGCTGTGTGGGGAACATTAAGAGTATGTTTGATGCAGACTTTGTTCACGTTGATGTTCTGAGAGCAAATGAGGCTGCACTCTGATGGCTTTCTCGTGAAAGTGTCTGTTGCTTTTTATTCAGTGTTTCCATTACCTTGGCCTACAACGTCTTCCTGCTGCTCAGCATATTTACCCCCTCTAAGGCTGACCTTCCCTGGCTCATTATATGAGCACTTTAATGTCTCGTCTGTCCAACAAACGCTTTCGTATAAGACGTTTTAAACTTGGTTGTTTTGAAACAGACAGAAGAGAGCATATAGGCAAGTGAATGTTCTATTGCACCATATTGTTCAGGTAGCAGTGGTGGTGTTTTTGTAAAAAATAAGAATACCAAAAAAATCTGTGTCCACGCACGATGAAACCTTGCCTCTACAGTTTACACCCTTTCATTTGTAATTTCAAACCTCAGTCAGCCTTCACTCCATATAACTAAATGCAATAGTAACATTTGGTGAGTCTCACGCAAGCGCATTATCAAAACGTGGCAGCCCTATAGTTGCCGGTGGCTCGTTGGCGATATGCCATATTATGCGTTAACCTATGACCTCTAGATCTTCAGCAGCCATGGTCATTCCAGTCATGGATGAATGCCTCCCCCAAGCCGTCACCAACACCACCTAGCACCTTCACGCGAGCTGATTTCATAGGTTACTACATCTCCTCGCGTATTCACCTAACCTCTGTCAGTACAACATTAACCCTACCTCGAACCCTTACAGACTCATTAATGGGAACAAAATAAACCATCAGACATAGCTCCTTCCCACATCTCTCTCCAGATAAAAGGTATGCTTTACACATTCCATAAGCCACACCGCCTTCTGGAAGTGTATCTTTTTGCAGTCAACTTTGGTTTAATAATACAAACTGTCGATCGGTATTGACATTCATCTTCCCGTCAGCAAAATCAGGCTTACTTAAAGTCACTGCTGATGAACTTCCCCATGTGTCAAGGCAATGTCTATTCGAAGCTGGGTCTGAGTTCGACGCAAACCTATAAAATACTGGCAGGTCGATCACCCGCGAGGAGTAGGAGGCTCTTACCGACTCGCACCGCCTCGTAAGCCATCTCTGGCTCATGCACCAAGTCGCACAGGGCCATGAGGGCTCGCTGCCGGGTCAGCAGCTCGGGCCCCTGCAACTCCCTGCACAGCCTGGGCAGCGCCCTGTCCCCGAAGGCCAAGGTGGCCTTGGTCGGGTCCACGTCCGGTGGCAACTGAACGGATGATCTCGCGTATAAGGCCATATTGCTAGGAGCTCGCACACACACACGCGCGGCCCACACTTTGCACTCTACTTATGGACGTTTTGTGAATTGTATTTAGCAACCGTGGCCGGGGATCGTATACTTTAAAATCTGTATATATATAAAATAATATATACCATTAAAAGAACAAGAACGACAAAGATTGACAGCTCTGCCCCCCAGCGTCACTTCCACGTGTGTGTGTGTTCGGCTCCGCGTTGTTTACGCTCCGTTGCGACGGCAACCGAAGGGTCCTGGCTAAGGGTGGGGGTAGAGGTTTGGGGGAGGGGAGGGTCCTTGAGTTCCCTTTCCCGCCCCCTCCCCTTGACCCCCAACGAATCAGCATTGAGCACCCCCCACACCCCCTCCCCTCCCCCACACTACAACCCCTCCCTTCTGCGGCGCTTAGGTGCCTTCCGCGATGCCTAATTCACTCAAGGTAACATGTCGTTTTTTAAGTGTTTAAGGAACCGCTGCCGGTGGCGTAAACAACTTGAGCTGAATTTAACACGTAGGCTTTATCGACAAATGTTATTCACAATAAGTCCAACCATAAAAAAAAGTTTTGTTGTGAAAGTTTTCATTTTATGAACTTAAGTTGAAATGGCTCTTACTTAACACTGGTTTGTAGTGGAACATCCGAATGGATGATTTCACTTAAAGTTGTCTTATGCAATCCAACCCCTGGCCCTCATCCTGCAAGTGAATTGATCATGACTCATGAATGATGGTGACAGGGTAATGCAGAGTGCAAGCACAGTGGTACACAAGCTAGGAATGAATACTAAAGCTCACCACATCTCTGTCATAAAAATATATAAATATACTTTAAGTGAGCATTTTAAGCGGTAACTCCTCATCGGAGTAAACGTTGACATAGGTGGAGACACCGTAGTTGAAAATATATACAGAAAAAAAAACATCTTGCCATTGGCTTGACATGGAAAACTGTGGAAAAGTCAAATCAAACTGGTGCTAAGGCATTGTTTAATTTGTGTAAAGTGGGATCCAGTGAAGTCCAAACTCAAAACAATCCTCAGTAATAACAATGCTGGAATAAATTTCGATTTAAAGCTTTCGTGACTGCAGGGATTCATATTCTTGGTTCTTTCGGTAAAGTCACGTAGAGGGGAAATAATAAAAATCAAACAAAATAAAATTATCACGACGTTTCGGCCACAACGCAAGCAGCCGTCCTCAGGTGAAGAACAGAGCTGTCGGAAAGACAGCTCTGTTCGTTAGGACGCTGTCTTTCCGACAGCTCTGTTATTATTTCCCTTCTACGTCACTTTACCGAAAGAACGAAGAATATGAAAAATGCTGAAATACTACTACTGTACCATAAATGGAAATGTATGTGGGTGTATATATAGGCGAAGTTTTGAGCCATCATCTCTCTTCAGGGTTATCTACAGCGACTCCTCTACTTACGAACATTCGACTTACAAACCTTCAGAGAAACAAACAAACCTGTCCGTATGCACAGTTGCCTATTTGGACCAAGAGTCGTAAGTTCAAACACCGCGCAATAGATGGCGGTGGTGGCATCTACATCTGCAGAACACGAATAACCGGTGGCATCTACATCTACAGCAGACAGTACAACTTTTAAAGCCATTCCCCGTGTTTAGTGGAATCGACGGGAGTAAAGTTGGACTTACGAACAAATCGACTTACGAACAGACCTCTGGAACTTAACTCGTTCATAAGTAGAGGAGTCCCTTGTGTTGGACTTTTTTTGCACCGTACGTAGCCAACCGTTGCCCATCGGAGGTACGGGGGGAAGGATTAAAACAAACCAAAATACACAAAGAAGTTCAAAATAAATAACGTTTCAATCCAGACGTAAAAGTGCATATAGCTCCAGTGGCTTCCCAACGCGTGCGAAATAATATTTCGCGTTTTGGCAGCCTGTGAACAATAATAATAACAACAACAATAAATTTTTATTTAAAGCTTTCGTGACTGCAGGGATTCATATTCTTGGTTCTTTCGGTAATGTCTCGGACCGCATTCGTGAACACAAAGCAGACCTAAAACACGGTAGGACCAACACCAACAATTATAACACTGTTATAATTCAATAGACTCACATGACATTGACTTCTCCAAGACAGAGGTTATTTGCAAGCAATCTGGCTACCATGAGAGATTCGTTCATGAGGATATCCACATATACAAACACAGAGACAATTTAAACCGAGAAGATGGATTCTGGCTTAGCAATCATTGGAAGGATTTGATCAACCATTTTGGGTCTTAATTGATTGTTCACGCTTACGGTGGCTTTCAGACCGCATCTATTATTTCGTCTCCCCCCTCCTCTTTTCCGAACATAGATGGACTCGTCCATCTGAACAAACTGTCAAATCTCTCTCCGTGGTGCTAACGTTAAAAAAAACCCGCCACTTTTTTCAAATGTTCTTGCTGTGGTTTTTCACACCTGATGATGATTGCTTGTGTTGCAGTCGAAACGTCGTGAGCATTTTTATTGTTTTATATTTTTATTATTTTATTGTTTCCCTTCTACGTGACTTTACCGAAAGAACCAAGAATAACAACAATAGTTCACGATGCGAGTTATATTTAATTTAATTTTTGTTTAAAAAAAATCTTGACAGGCGCTCCTCGGACACCTATGGTTTTGGCGGCGATTCTTCACCAAGGGCGCAGTGGGGAGGGGGTGAGAAGGAAACTCGCGGCCGCCGCTTCGGAGCAACGGTGAACGACAACCCTCAAGCAAACCCCCCTCCGCGCTGCCCCATTTATATATAGATACAGTACACACAGTACACACACGTGTGTTCAGCACACTGCTAATTGACGCCGTTGATTGTGATCGGCGCGAGAGGTGCGGTGGTTCGCGCTGCGTTCGTCCCGCCGGTGCCCGGTTGTCGTTCTCGCTGGGGCGGGCAAGCGCCTCGAGTGTGTGGAGTGTGTGTCACCCACCCCCCCACCACCTCACCCACCACCACCCCCCACCACCTCACCCACCACCCCCCACCACCTCACCCACCACCCCCCACCACCTCACCCACCCCCCCACCACCTCACCCACCACCCCACCACTCCTCCATCCCATCGCCGAGTTCGCCGTTCGCGCTACGAGAATGATCGCAGAGGTGACCCGCGTCGAGCCTCGTGCCGTTAACGCCGATATCTTTGGCAGGAAGAGGAGGGGGGATGGCAAAAGTTGCCTTCGGTTCTGTAGGCGTGAGGCGATTTGCCACGAGGTCGCGGCGATCCGTCGACGCGGCTGCCAGTTATTTGCCACCGAGTCCTAGCCAAATGTAGCATTGAACCCTAAGAATTGTGAACGTGTAGTGAAGTTAGCATCGGGAAGGCGCCGTGTGACTCTCAGAGGAGGGACGTCAAGGTGCCTCGATTGTGACTTGTGCTCGTCAGGCGTGAAACAGCATTGCGCGCGTGCGACTCGGCATTCGCCGCCGGCAATGAACGTACTATATTCGTATTCTTGGTTCTCTCGGTAAAGTCACGTTGAAGGGAAACAACACAATATACACAAAACAACAAAAATGAACGTACTAATTACGAAGTTGCTTTGGTCTGTTTCTGCGAGGTGCCTCGACTGCGTTATTATATCAGATGTGTGTGTGTTTGCGGGCGTGAATATAGTGTATCATCTATAGAGTGTGTGTGTGTATGGCCACAAGTTGTGCACGCACACTCGTCGTGTACTTATAGACTCCCATGTGTTTTATTATAAACGAGGCCTAAAGCTGTCGCCAAATACGAAATCGTTCGTTGTTGGCCCTTAGCGTTGCCTAGACGACCGCGGTTTTGAGTCTCGGAGCCAACGTTTCAACATTTGCACGGTGTGGCGTTTGCCTGCCGTGTTAAATCCAGCGGTTACCGACAGCAACATTATTGTATTATCGCATGCATTTGGCACCATTTCATTGTTAGCCTAGGAATACGTGCACAAAATCGACGCGATTTCGCATGCGCCCGATGGAAAATGTCGTCCGGTAAATGTGTACAAAAAAATCAAGGACAAATGTAACCTGCTGCATACGATCCCGATTTAATCTGCTGTACTGGATTGAGCTAATACTGTTGTGTGTAGCACAGCACGATATCGTGCTGTGGTTCGGGTGCTCGACTCACAAATGTCGCCCGCCCATCACAATCTCTCCTTGCACCTTTGTCAATCATTAGGAGTGTCTCCACAACGCTTTGAAGGTTGAAATGTACAGTATTCACAAAGATACATGGTACAGATTTGAAGCTTTCGTGACTGCAAGGATGTAAACACCTTTAACACAGATAGTTTTGATATGTAAACTCCTTTGTCAAGGCGCCCTGCTCCTCCCACCGAGCTTAAAAGGCATCTTAGCAGCGGTCATTGAAGTGCTGTCGTTCCGACAGTTCTGTCCCTTCACCTGAAAAAGGCCACTTGTGTTGTGGCCGAAACGTCGTGATTTTTGTTTTATTTTTTTACCTAGTGACTTTACCGAATAGAACCAAAGAGTATACATGGTACATATTTAGTAAACGAATATAGTGCACATACTTCACACAAGAAAATGGTTTTAGTTTCATTTATCAAATATACGAAGGCTTTCGGTCATGTCAGGTGGAGGAGGGTTGTATGACACACCATTTGCATTTACTTCAGTTTCATTTATTAGGTATAGCCCCTGTGAGCCATGACGCTCTTGACTCGGGTGCAACTGCAACAAACAAAACATGAACAAAGAACATCTTAAAGTGACGACTAACAACAGAAACATGCAGGAAAAAAACAGTAAAATCTTCCAGAAAAAAGCACCGTATACAAACGCTGTGTGCAAAAATCCCAATGGGATGCAAGTCTAACAATAACCATAAGACAAGATGAAGTTAGGCTAACTCCGTACTTCAACAAACACGTTTTCAAAATCACCAAAATAAAGCTATAAAAACAATGTAACAGTGATCATAGGAACTGTTATTCAAATTTAACATTAAACGATATACATAACATGTACGACCAAACTTTGTAGCCATAGCTGGCAGCATGAGTCACTCCATAACAGCAGGAGTATCAGCAGGAGCATCAACACTTTTCAATGCACCTTTCAAGTTCACTTGTGCGATCTAAACCAAATAACTACGATTTATCTCTCAACTTTATTAAAACCTATACAGGTTAAATATAACTGGAAAAGTTATCAAGTTAATTGATACTCAAAATCACATCGGTGGCTGTCTTTTAAAATCATAAATGAGCTTTGTTTATACCCCCAGGCACTGTCCATGCAGGCACGGGTACTGTGATGTCTCATCTTCAGAAAGCAAACTTCCTTCGCGCAGTTGTGTGAAGTACATCACAGCGGCACCTTTTAAGAACAGCAGTAATTCACAAACCTGGGAGCACTTCTGGCCAAGGACCATGGAAAAGTACCACGTGCTGGAGATGATTGGAGAGGGATCATTTGGGAAGGTATACAAGGGAAGAAAAAGATATACTGGCCAAGTAAGTAATTTTGAATGACCCAGGGTTATAATTATAAACCAGCATGGTGTTTGTTTCAGATAGAAAAAAACCTGAACTGTATTTTAACAATTTACAACAAAGTTTATGCTTTTCTCTGACATTGAATTCCAGTTTGTCATGCAAAACATTTGATGTATAACGTTTCAAGCTGTGTAGTGTTTGATCAGTAAGGCAAACACCCTTAATATTTCAGGTTGTAGCCCTCAAGTTCATCCCAAAGGTTGGTCGCTCAGACAAGGAGCTGAGAAACCTGCGTCGGGAAATTGATATCATGCGAGGCCTTCAACACCCGAACATCGTCCAGATGCTGGACAGCTTTGAGACTGATAAGGAGGTAAAATGCAGTGGAACCCACTTTTTGTCTTGACAATAACAGAAACGATTCACCGCGAGTGTTCAAGACAGTGTTTTAAAATGGGATATGTGGTAATTGTTTGCACAAATGGCTGTGTTTATACTACTCTAGAACTAATCAGAAAAGTTGAAACCAAATAAATTTAGTTTGTGACCAAGTCCCAACAACAAAAGTGCAATTTTGGTCAAAGTGTTCCCAAAGCGGTTGTGCAGAGACTAGATAATAATCTGGGTATATCTCAAACATTGCTTTGGATACAAAATTATAATTTAAAACAAGTGTGTAATTGCATTTTCACCCTGGGTGTGCATTTGGTTCTTTGTGCCAAAATTATGCAACCAACATCTGTGCTTTCCAAATAATTTAGCAACCAGTGGTTTTCGTTTTAAAGTTTGATTTTCGTAATTAGTTTTTCTCGTTCGTACTGGAGGAAGTGGTGATTGACACCTTGGCTTTTTATAAACGCTTTTAGTTGCTGCTGTAAAAGTGGCTTTTTACCATTGTCATCATGAAAAAATATCTGATGTATAGCAGTGCATTTTTTAATGAAGTAGATGTGTATTACAAAAAAAACTGCCACAACACAAGTATGTGATGGTTGTGTGACAAAGACCGAAAACGTTGTGATTGTACATTGGCATGGTATGTTTCCCGTAGGTGGTGGTTGTAACAGATTATGCAGAAGGAGAGCTATTTCAGATCTTGGAAGATGATGGAAACCTTCCTGAAGAGCAGGTAATATCAGTGTCGTAATGCTAATATCACGGGAATTATCTATTGGCACTGCACATTGGTTATGGTCTCGATGACCTAATGATACAAGTTAATTTTGCAGGTCCGTGAGATTGCATGTCAGCTGGTCTCTGCATTATATTATCTACACTCTCATCGCATCCTTCATCGGGACATGAAGCCTCAAAACATACTGCTCGGAAAAGGAGGGGTTGTCAAACTCTGTGATTTTGGGTCAGTATTAAAACTTTTACTACATTTATGTGGCCATCTGTGTTTCTAGAATATATATTTTTTCTATTATTACATTTATGTATGCAATCTAGCATTTTGTTTAAAATATAGTATCTGACATTAGATGTACAGGTCTTTACAGGCAGCATATATTACTCGTAATGACAAAGGCAAATAACACTTTAGAAGTCTTTTATAAAAAGTGATCCATGTCAGTCAGAATATCAATCAGGAGGAAAGGCATGATACACACCGCCTCACTGAACTGTGTTTCCTTGGTGCTTACCTGATTTATTGCAGAAGGGCTTAAGAGACTCGGAGTCTCAAGAGTGCTCATGGGTCATTTATGGCATCTGAGCAATTTTTTTGGAGAGGTCTGACATGTTATTGAAAAAAGATTTCATCTTACCTGTTTCTGCTGTTTTGGCAGGTTTGCCCGGGCCATGAGCATCAATACCCTTGTACTGACCTCCATTAAAGGAACGCCACTGTACATGTCTCCTGAGTTGGTGGAGGAGAAGCCATATGACCATACAGCTGACCTTTGGTCCATGGGCTGTATCCTCTACGAGCTCTTTGTTGGCACGCCACCCTTCTACACCAACAGCATTTTTCAACTGGTCAGCCTCATCATCAAAGATCCTGTCAAGTGGCCTAAGAACATGAGCTCAGAGTTCAGGGTAGGTTATTTTTTACTCTGAAATCATGTTTTGATTAAATCTGGGCACTGTGGTATAGAGGGCACATGTTGCTAAAAAACACATTGGCGTGCTTTAATAGTGTTGGTTTTACGATATTAACTTAAATGTTTGTTTCAGAACTTCTTACAGGGATTACTGACAAAGGAACCGAAATTACGTCTTTCCTGGCCAGCACTCCTTCACCACCCGTTTGTGGCTGGAAAAGTTATTGGTATGGTTGCTGCTTACATTTTTTGCAAATAAGATGAGGGACTTGTTTATTGTGAACTAAATTAAACATTTCCTCATACTTTAGTTGAACAGTTTGAGATGAGCAATAATGAAACTTTGGTCAGAAATAACCGCAAAGCCTTATTATATGTTGCAGGGCCATGAATCAGTAACTGCATGCATTGTGATGTGTGTGATGTCCCTTCCTTTATTTGCATGTAACTCACCCTGCTATGCCATATGCTACATAATTAATGCTGCATGCAATATACTGTATGCAAACATAATATAAAGGTCAATTACAAGTGGTGGAGATGGTCTCATAGTGCCAGGTCATGCTTTAGAAAACATTCTGTATAATAAGAGCCAAATCTGTATGTATGTATGCAAGTGTTGATCTTTGGAAAAAAATATCCTATATCACTCCACCATATTCACTGAATGAGGTGTCATTTGATGGTTTGTGATCTATAGATTCAGCAAGCTATTTTGTTTTACATCATAAGTCGACTTATTGGCCCCATCGCTGCTTATCCACTCTGCCGTTTTTAAGAGTGCGGCACATGATGTGATCCCCACAACCACATTTCAAAATCATACAAACCGATAGGTGTGTTCCATTGGAAAGAGGTGAGTGTGCTTATGGGGAGCTATTGAAAATCAACTAGCTTTCTACTATATTAATTTAAACTGGTAAGTGGTGAGGGTCAGGTGAGTTAATGGCTGGCGATTGGTAATTTGTAAAAGTCTGACGAGGGTTCAGGTGAGTGTCACGTCACCCCGCCAATAGGAGAGGCTGCCCACAAGTAATACATAATATAAATAATACATGCGAAATGATGTAGGAAACTGGTCAACTCATTGGTCTAAGAATTGTAAATACTGCATAGAAAATACTGTAGAGGTATTTAATTAACTTAAAAAATAAACTTAAAACTGCATTTTAATTTTCAATTTATGTAATTGCTATTAGTGTTGTCATATGACTTGGTGAATTTTCTCCAAATACAAATATTTGAATTTATTATAAACTAGGATCCATACCTCAAAGAGCGGGTCTGGCAGTTCACCAGCTTTGGTGCAAGTGTAGTGTATGTCAACTGAGGCGCACACACACTGTTGTCAGAGGCAATGCGTTTATTAAATAATTCACTATACACCGGATTCTGTTGCTGAGTGTGGCTAACTTCCCTAGGCTGCTCACTATGTGCATGTGTGTTAACTAGCTTGATCCCCGAACGAGCCTCGAATCCCCCTCGCGCTCCCCCTTTATCCCTTGCTGTATCAAGGACAGCGCTCCCGGCCACGTGTCCTTAACTCCTCCAATCAAGACACCGTTTCAGGTCACGTGCCCTTGACTCCTCTAATCGAGGCCCACTTCTGGTCACGTGCCCTTAGCTCGTCCAGTCGAGGCGCCACTTTCGGCGACGTGTCCTTAACTCGTCAATCGGGCACCGCTTCCGGTCACGTGCCCTTAACTAGTCCAATCGAGGCCCGCTTCCGGTCATATGCCCTTAGCTAGTCTAATCGAGGCCTACTTCTGGTCACGTGCCCTTAGCTCATCCATTCGGGGCACCCGGCGCTCCTCCAGCACTGGCTGGCGCGACCCACAGAGACATCTGACTGTCTCTACACCACCCCCCCCCCTTTACAAAATTTCAGCCGACCCGGCTGTAAAACCCCAAATGGAAGAGTAGAGGAGAAAAACTTCCAACAACCCAATAAAAAAACTCCTCGTCTCACAGCCAATTTCACAGAAATGCGCGGCCCCCAATGTAATGTGAACGGTAAGTGTAACAATAGCCCCGACCGACGCGCTCCAACAACACAACACAAGAGCCGTGAGATAAAGAAGAAGGGACGGCAACCTTAAGGGGTGATCCGTCCTCCCGGCAGCCAGCCCTGTCTCACCGCTGCACGCATGCCTTCCCCCCTCCACGAGTACAGGGTGGGGCCGGGTCCGCCCCCGGGCCCCCACCGGCTCGCGAGCGAGACTGCCAACCGATGGTGTGCGTGAATGGCGGCGTGCTGGCGAGAGTTAACGGAAGCGGCCAGTTTTCGAGCGCGTGTGACAAGGCTGGCCCGAGGCCCAAGGCCCGCGGCCCCTCTCCAGGTGGCGAAGGAAGAAGCCGCCCGACCGGAGAGGAAGACCCGACAATGGTTGTCCGCCCCTGACTTGCGCCGAAACCGGCTACGAGGTCGGCGGCTCCCCAGGGCACACCGGACACACAGGCCCCAAGGATTTGAGATGATGAATGAGCTTCGTCTGGCGGACAAAATGGTTTAAGGCGTGACGCATGTACAAACCAGCGCCTTCGACCGAATTGTATGCGGATGCTTTGCGGGCTTTTTACTTCGACGATCTCCACGGGCCCCCGCCATTGTTTGTACAGCTTAGGGGACGTCCCTACGGGAACCCGGGGCCAATGAAGCCACGCCCTATCCCCAACTGTCCATTTGGTCCCAGTTTCCCAGGCATCCATTCCCGCTCGTTGGCAGCTTGCTTCAAGGCTGAGTTCCCGCGGGAGGCCTCCCTAGCCTCTGACAGGCGCTGTAGGGGAACCCGTATGGGGTCAGACAGTTTCTTTTGAGCCAGATCCGGATTTAGCTGTGCGTCAATGGGCGGATCTTGCTCCCTCCCATACATAAGAAAAAAATGTGAGTAGCCTGTAGACGCATGGTGGGACAATCTATATGCGGCCAGGACCCCTGGAACATGCAAGTCCTAGTCGGTCTGTTGTTCGTTAACCTGATGGCATAGCATGGATGTGAGCGTCCAATGCAGGCGCTCAACCATGCCATCGGTGTGCGGATTATAGGGCGAGGTGCAGATCTTTTTAGTGCCCAATAGGTCACACACCTTAAGCAGTTTTGATTAAAAATTTCTGCCCTGGTTCGTAAGGAGGCGTTCTGGGGCCCCCTTATCCAGAACGTACCCGTGGAGAAAGGCATCCGTAATGGTGGCTGCCGACTGGTCTGGCACCGGCCAGGCCATTGGCCAACGAGAAAGATACTCTACCCTCACGTGCAAATACTTGTTACCCCGCGGAATGGCGGGGAACGGACCCAGCATATCGAGCGCGACGAGTTCATTCATCCACGATACACGAATGGATTGGAGAGGGGGGCATGCCAATTTCGGTGGAGGTTTCCGGCGGGCACATGCGGTGCATCCTCTAAGCACATTTTGGACGTCCGCCACCATGCCGGGCCAGAAGTTCAGGCGGAGGGTGGACAGGGTTTTCGAGACCCCTAAATGCATAAGACGTCCGTGCGTTGCCCAAACCAACCTCCTCCGCAGGATGGTGGGAACTACGACGTTATACTTTAGTAATTCTGCGTCCCAGCGCATGAGGAGGCCCCCTCTCAGAATGACCGTGGCTAACGGTCGTCGGCTGTCGCCCTCTGCGGAGTCACGAACCCGGCGTCTGATGGCTAACAATGAGGCATCCTCGGCCTGGAGTCACCCCCACTCGGAGTTGGAGAGACTGAGCATGTGGTTACATGCGTCAGCTGCGTCCGTGTACACGACGTCGGCCGCAGCGACGATCTCCCGGGGCGGAGCTGAATTGGCAGGCTTGCACCGTCCCGCGCCCGATGTGCATGCGCACTCGTCACCGGTTGGCAGACGTGACAACGTGTCAGCATTCGAGTGGCGGACGCCCTTTCTATACGAGACCTCGAATGCATAGTCCTGAAGGACCTCGAGCCAACAAGACAGCTGGCCGGACGGTTGCTCAACACGCATTGTGTACTGCAAGGCCACGTGGTCTGATCGTACCTGGAATTTCCGCCCATAGAGGTACAGCCAGTACTGCCGAACGAAATAAACAATCGCCAGCAACTCACGCGCGTAACGCAATCGCGTTGCTCGGCCATAGAAAGCATCCTACTGCCATATGCGACCACACGCTCTACTCCGTCCACCACCTGTGACAAAACGGCGCCAATACCAGTATTGTTAGCATCAGTCTCGAGGACGAAAGGCAAAGAAAAATCGGGGTACCGAAGGGGAGGCGCGATGACCAGGCTTTTGCGCAGCGCGGCAAACGCGGCCTCCTCTGCCCGAAATTCTTGGCCTTTGGCCGTGAGGACATGGAGCGGCTTTACGATCGTGGCAAACCCGGGGACGAAGCATCGGTAATAAGAGGCGAACCCGACAAAACTACGTACCTCACCCGCCGACTTGGGGGTTGGCCACGTGCGAACGCACGCAGTTTTGTCAGGGTCCGTCGAAATCCCGGATTCGCCGACAATATGGCCGAGGTATTTGACCGATCTCTGCAGGTATTTGACCGATCTCTGCAGCACTTCTACGGCTTAAACTTCAAGTTAGCAGCCCGCATTTTGAGGAAAACAGCCCGCAACCTCTGCAGGTGCTCTTCGAAATGTGCGTCCAAACACGATGACATCGTCGAGATAAATCAAACACGTATCCCATTGTAGGCAAGCGAGCACTAGCTCCATCAGCCGTTGGAATGTGGCCGGGGCTGAGTGCAATCCCATCGGGAGCCGGTTGAACTAAAAAAAGCCCTGGGGCGTGCGCAATGCAGTCTTTGGCCAAGAGCTGTCATCTAAGGGCAACTGCCAAAATCCCGACATCAAATCGAGCGTGGAGAAAAACCGCGCCCCTGACAACGCGTCTAACGAGTCGTCCGTCCGCGGGAGCGGGTACGCATCCACCACGGAGACTTTGTTGAGTCTGTGGAAGTCCATGCAGAACCTCAAACTACCGTCCTGTTTCTTTACAAGAACGATGGGCACACCCCATGGACTGTTGGAGGGAACGATAATGTCTGCGGCCAGCATTTCATCCACTGCGCAGCGCACATGGTCCTTCTCCGCGGGACTCAGGCGATACGGGTTTTGACGAATAGGACCCGAATCTCCCGTGTCAATGTGATGGCGCAATAAAGGCGTGCAGCCAATGTCGAATTTCGATTTGCTAAATAAATCGCCAAATTCCGATTAGAGCGCACGCAGCTTGAACCTCTGTGTTTCAGACAGGTCCTTGCTCTCGGAACAGAGCGTGTTTACCCATGCCTCGTCAACGTCCTCACCCTGCCCCGCAGCCGCTGAAACACCTATATTTCCACCGTGTTTATGAACGCCACCTGCGGCCGACGCGTGAGCTAAGACAGTGCCCTCTTAAATCACCGACGCGTCCGGACCGACATTCAGGACGTGAATAAAAGGTTGTCCGTCGCTTGCAACCAAAATCTGCGCATAAACCAAATTTTGTGTGTGAACCGCCCTGGTGGAGGGAACCATCAACAACCCGTGCAGAGCCGTTTTGCAATCTAGTTGCTTTTTAAACCGGGGGGAATTTTAACCATTTGGTTTGCCATGGCAGGCACCGAAACGTTCGCTGTGCGAAACAGAGTTCGTGATGACAAGAAAGCCATGCGGCGGCCCGACGGCAACTCAATGCAGCCCAGATCCACCAGGATTTTGAGTGGTATTCACCAAGGAAATCGGTCCCTAACAGACAGGGTACGGCTAAAGATTTGGAAATGAGTACCGGACCCGACAACTGAATGTCGCCAATGCCAATTGTGGCCGAAATCTGACCGACAATTCCTAGGGACTGCCCGTTCGCGGCGAAACAGGGAATTGCGACGGGTAAAATGGCGCACGATTTTGGCGACAAGCTTTCGAAAACCATATCCGAAATGATGGTTGCCAGTGTAGTGTATGTCAACTGAGGCGCACACACACTGTTGTAGGAGGCAACGCGTTTATTAAACAATTCGCTATATACCAGATTCTGTTGCTAAGTGTTGCTAAGTGTGGCTAACTTTCCTAGGCTGCTCACTATGTGCGCGTGGGTTAACTAGCTTAATCCCCGAACAAGCCCCGAATCCCTCTCGCGCTCCCCCTTTATCCCTTGGCCCCGGCCCCGCCCCTTGCTGTATCAAGGACGGCGCCCCCGCTTCCGGCCACGTGTCCTTAACTCCTACAATCGAGACACCGCTTCAGGTCACGTACGCTTGACTCCTCCAATTGAGGCCCACTTCCGGTCACGTGCCCTAAGCTCGTCCAATCGAGGCACCGCTTTCGGCCACGTGTCCTTAACTCGTCCAATTGGGGCACCCGGTGCTCCTGCAGCACTGGCTGGCGCGACCCACAGAAACACACAAGCAAGCGTGACTGATAAGCAGGCACCGAATGTCGAAACCGGTCCAGAATTTGCTTGTTTTGAATCAATGCTGCTGAAGTTATCCTCTGCCAGAAGGCCTTGTGGATTATGGGAAAGTGTAAAAAATACTTTTATATTTTTATATGGAACATACATCAATTGGATATATTGTCTGCTTATTTATTTTGTTATTCGTTTGAATGAGTCAAAACATTGATCCTTGCCCCACATTTATTTTAAGGCAACTTATACATCCAGTGGGCTGCATACAGCTCTGCAAAAGTCGCATGCACTTATCATACCATACAGCATCTTGCATGCAGCTCGTACCTCATTGTACTGCATGGTCTAACAAAGAATTTATAATAATTTCAGTGGCAATTGCTCATCTAAGTTCAAGGTTATCCATTCAATATTATTTTATTCTCCACTACCACCATAAAGTATCCCTTATGAGTGTGGAATTGAGTATTTGCTTAATGTGACAAACATTTTCTTACTAAAGTTTAATAAAATTGCAGTGTTGGATGACATCTCTGCCGAAGAAACAAATCCACTGACGGAGGACCTCAGCCCTGAACTTCAGGCACAAAAAGAAAAACAGGCAGCAGAACTGGCACCTACCAGTGGGCAGTCAAAGATTCTACGCAAGGCACGGCAAAAGATGGCAGAAGTAGCAAAGAACAAGGTGGTTAAATTAGGATGCATTTCTCACCCCAAATGGTTACTTTTGAAAAATGTTATCATTTCAAGAAATTGATGGTTACACTTATTTTTTCTTTTTATAATGCTAATAACAGGAAAAAGATAATCAATGTGGAAACGCACCTCAAAGACAACGAGGTGTTTTGGAGGAAAAGGCTTCTTCACACAGTGCATTATCTTCTAAACATAAATCAATGGCCAAACAAGCTGTAAGTTCTGCTGACACTTTAGCTGTGAAGCAGGTTGGTGATGCAAAAAAGGATGATTGGCAAATGGAAAATAGGCCACCCACACCAAAGTAAGTGCACACATTGATATTTTCTTGAGAAGTTTTGTTTCCAGAATAAATATTTATTTTTGTTTAACATTTTGAATCATCAGCAGTCTTTAAACGATTTAAAAACAATTCTAGTGTGCTTGGCAAAAGTGAAATCCAGACAAAATCATTGATATTCAACAGTCATGCTTTGCAGTTTCAAATGTAAGAAATTTGTTATTTTTAACTTGCAAATTTGCAAAGATATTTGTTTTAAAGATGATCATGCAAAAAAGTATATCTGTTTTCAAAGGTAGTCATGTAAAAAGTATGAATCGCTTTTTTTTTCATTTCTAGGGTAGATCGAATTGGTGCTGATTACGCAAAAGAATTTCCAGAGGTGGAGGTCGGAAGCCGTACCCTAACGCGGCAGGACCCCAGCGCCGTGCCAGGACGTGCCAACGGAAGCATCGACAATGTAGACCTTGACAATGAGGTACACAGTTACAAGCAGACCTTTGTTACACTGCTTTTTTTCCTTATTCGTAATGCAAACATTTCTTGAAAATTTGACATAATCTGCAACTCCATAGAATAACCTATTAAACACGTACAAGTTATATTTGTTTGTGCAGTAGGCCTAACATATTACACCTATGCACTTGTAGAGGAGTAGTGTGATGACGTCATGTCATGAGCGCTGTAAGGAGACACCTTCGAGAACAGGGGCGGGTCCGAGTGAAGGGGAGGAGCCACCCAAGGGGTACTTAAGGGGGACCCCATGACGAAGGCGTGGTCGTTGTGGAAGCCCGGAGTGTGGATCGGCTGAAAGAGGACTCTCCCGCTCGTGACCGGACGGTGTTGGCTGAACCCCCGTCCGGGGTCCACGAGTGGGAAAGCCGAAGAGATGGCCGAGAGTAGGGCTCGAAGAAGTCTGTGAGAATCGGCTGAGAGTGAGTGGGGTTCTTCTCTCCTCGGCCAGGCTGGGTGTTGAATGAACCCCCGTCCCGGCCCTAGTGACGGAGCCCAAGGGATAGCCGAGGTTAGGACGAGCATTGCTGTGGGGGTCCATGGGAAGGACCGAGTATAGAGAACACCTACCCCTGGTGTGAGCCGAGTGTTTAAACCGTGTTAATAAATGGCGAAAGCTCTTACAAAAGTTACGTCTCCGCGTGGTTTCTACGACGCAACACACTTATATGTTATACAATTAATACATTAATTTATGGATTCAAAATAAACATAAGGTTATCTTGTGCCAATCCATAGGCCACAAACACAGCACTTGTCCTTCACAATGTTGTGCAAAATCACGAATATTGGGACTATGTAGAGCTATGTTTTAAATTAAGCCATGACATTATTGCTTTGTGTGCACAGACTTGTAGTTGTGGTACTATGGAAATTGGCAAAAATCATGTTCAGCACACTTTAGTGTTTTTTCTCACATACATATTAAGCAGTGTGTTGAGTCCTGGTTGATGGTAATTGAATTTGATTGGGCTCAGTGTGAAGCACCTTGAATGTATTGTTTTTGGATGGCTGGATGGCTCAAAATAACATTGACACAATTGAGGTAATGTTTGTAAGGACCTATTCTGACCCCTGCTATGTTGATATTGGAGTATGTTAATAATGGCATAGGCATCACAGTTTAATATGACCATTTTAAATATTGAAACATCCTACATCCATGTGAACAAGTCAGTGGTGTAATATTATTCAAATAACATATTGAATCACTTTTTGTGATTCATACGTTAAAGCTATAATGTTTTTATTTGGATTGCACGGTTTTGCTTTACACAATACAGATATGAGCTTAATAAGCAAAGACCTAGAAAGTGGACATTCCACCACATTTTATTAATTTCTTCACACAGTCTCTTGTATCTTATTGTCTTCTTGGACAAAGGTGCTTATAATGACTTTTCACAGGAGATGGACAGCGATGACGAGTGGCAGCATTTCATTGAAGCGACGGATCCTACCAACCTCCAGTTGACCACTCCCATGACACTTTTGTCAGATGCTGAGTTTTTGACTCGCATTCGAGCCAGGCTGAGAGACTCATCCACTCAGGTAATTTAACAACACGTGTATTAGTTTGTTGAGCTGTTATTTATTCGTGTTAGCTCTGTTCATAATAGTAATATGACATTATTTAGTTTCATATATGTGTTTTGGTTTTCAAGCGTCTATGCAGATCATATCTGTCACGTTTTACTTTTAAAAATATTTTGAAATATTGGATACATACAGATGGTGATTTTACTACTAACATATAAGCAATATATTTACTGTACTAATTTGACTATGCCCTTACCTTTGTTTATTACATCATGTTAGCATCACCAATGCATTGCAATTAGAATATCAGCATGAATCTCAGTATACAATAACGAGGTAACGGCGTATTAGGCAGTAGATATAAACGTGCATAAATTTATTTTGTATTTTTAATTATTTGTGCTGGATTGTGTTCAGGTTTTAGATGGTATGCTGGAGGGAGCATCCAGACTGCGTCCTGTGCTCCATGTCATTACAAACCTTTTAGCCACTAAGTGTGACTCGGAGCTGCTGTACACGTTCTGTTGCTCTCTCGAGCTTCCACATCACTCCCTCATGCTGCTGGAGCAGATCTTGGCCAGTACAAGTGTGCGACAAGTACATAATGCATCTTCACTTTCAGCTTTTACGTAACTCGCTGAGCAGTCGTGATGGACGGCATGATGCTAATTTCGTAAATCCCAGAGAAATGGATGCCTTAATTGACCCTGTGATTATATTAACAAATTTCTTGATTAGATGCCTGCTGCTCTTGCAACAATGTCATATCCTATCCCTAAACAATTACGTTGTTTAAATACAGTGTTTACGTGAACAATCTAAACTCTTGCAACGTCCAAGGAATGAGTTGCCGTTTTATGCATGCAGTATTTAAAGAACAGTGTATGCATGTGTTGTATTTGTGCATTTGTTCATGTATGGTTTTCTATCATCTTCCAGCAACCCTGGTGTCTAGCTGTCCTGTTAGACCTAATCGCATTACTCATTGCTTACTTTGCCAGTGATTTCAACACTAATCCAAATATATGTTCAGAGAGGTAAGCCGTTTAAAAAAATATCATATCACTTCAACCTTTTTTGCACATGTCATTTGGAACGAGCTCCATTTATTGTAAACTGTTTGTATTGTTTTCTTGTCAGTCATGTATTTGTTGGAGACCCAAAGTACTATTAAAGTATCTTTAAAGTATGTTAAATGCTTTGTTGATAATAAGAATACTATTTTTGTATGTCTTATTTTCGATTTGTCAAGGAGAAACGATTTTTGTTCTCTCGTTAATTTTGCACATTTAAAGCTATATTTGCAATCGTTAACTTGTATTGTTTTCCCTCAACCTCCGTGATATCCTCTTATGTTGCAGTTATGAGAGATTTGGAAAGTCTGCTGAAGAGTACATTAAAATATTGCAGAAGCTGATGAATCAGTCCATCGACACTGATCTTCGCCTCACAGAACAAGCCATGCTAGTACGAATATTTCTACTCTGTAATTGTATATGATATATGCCTTTTCTTTGCTGTCAAATAGATTTAAAGGCATCTATATTGACTTTCTCTATAATTATTCTCTTGACTCAATTGAAGATTCAAGGGCATAGTGTATAGGCTAATACAATGCAGGTAATTCGGTAAGTAAAATTGCCCGTCTAATTCTGAAACATTTTTTTTCTCCCTCCACATAGTGCCTGGTGTACCTGTGCGAGAGTATGGATGCAAACTCATCACCTGTGTCTGCAGATTTTTACTCCAGTTTGCTTTCCAACAACTCCGCTCTCATTCAGATTCTGCTGCTTGGTACTCAAACTCAACCAGCTGTGCAGAAAAAAATAGGTTTGCTATTTTACATATATATAATATATACACAAACATATACACATTCCAAAGAATCGCAAACCAAATCTCCAATAAACAGCAATTTGAATGCTAAATATTATTAGTATTTTACAATGCAGCCACTGCATTAGAAACGTATTAAACCAAATATTGAAAAATACCGTTGTTGTGGGATTAATATTTGAACTCCAATTTGTATATTGCCGAGTTTCACAGCACAAGTTGACAGAGTGGCAGTAAGAATGGATTTGTTATTAAATGCGAGGGGTATTATTAAAATATGAGGGATGCACAAACATAAATGTCTTGTATTCTCATTACATGAAAAAATTACTTAACTGGTTATTCATTATAATATCATGATTATCTGGCTTTTTTCAGCAAGCCCGCTATCCTTTTCTGTACACTTGTGTCAACAGTGTGACCACAGGTAGAATTGCATCACTGTGAAAGGGTTCACGACCATCGCAATCAATTGTGAACAACATTCGAAATTCAGTGTAATTTGGAAATGCTATTCTTATAGGCTATCCTTCAAAAGGTCAATCAGATAAAAAATCTGAGAGTGCCAGATTTAAACTGTAGTAGCGAGGGCAGCACACCCACGTATGACCTGGTATTGTCGTGGTCTGACATTGTCATGTTGAAAAGAGGGTTTTTGCCATTTGTTTCACGACATGACATTGCGATGAATGAATATCTCACATTTTATTTCTGTTCAATAAAAAGTAATTGAAGGAAAAAAGTAGGATGAATTGCTTTCAGGGCAACGTATATTACAGTAGTATTGATACGTGTCTCAGCTACGTTGTGGTGACCTGATAAATCGTCTGCACCCGCAGTTTCCCATGCTCGATTGGACCAGGTTTCTGGTGCCTTTATGGCTGCTATGGCAGCTTTGCTGAACTTTCCGCTTAAAAACCAACCATGTTGTGTGGCCAAGACCAAGGTAGGACATTCCTTCGAAATTCCCTTGTTCAATGTGCTGCTTTAGATTGATAGGTTGCAACAGTCTTTGTTTTATTTAATGGATATAGATGTGTGTTTTTTTGTCAAATAATGTTTTTATTACGCAACTATTCTGAATGGCTTAAAAAATGTATACAAGTGACTTGGAAAGAATTGGTGAAGGATGCAAATGCAATGTATGTTTAATGGCTATGAATTTAGTTACAATCGAAACCTATTCTTTTAGTAAATTATATATCAAACCCTATTAACCATCTTTTTTTAAAATCAACCTTTTAAATAAATGCTGTCCAAAATTAAACATTTGTATTGCATATGTCGATGGCAGTAGAGGCAACGTGGTATTATAATGGTTTCCGTTTATAATGCATCCTATATGAGCCCTGTAATAATCAATCAATGCTGTCAGTCTTTTTTTCCCTTCTAGAATTTGCATGTCATTGTATTTCAGTCACTTATATAGGCTGCCTGCGCAATGTTTATGCATGCATTTTTCTATCTCCTTTAACAGGTGGTAGAATTTATTGTGGAGAGCCTGATGGAGCCAACACAGCATCACCTGATAGAGGGCTTGGTGAATGACCTCAGCCATCCTCTGAAGGCCTCAAATGCTCTACGGGTTAGTGCAATCCCAAACTGCCAGCATTGTAATTGCTCTTTTGATAAATACCCTCTAAAGTACAGTTCCACCCAGGGTGGTAGACCCAGAGAGAGGATGTTTGATTTCCATATGATTTGTATGGGATGGAAATTGGATTTATTACATGCTAATGTTGAATTTAGACATTATTTAATATAAAATTAATTGTTTCATTGAAAGACAATTTTTTTTACATAGGATATGGTTATTTTAAGATGACTTCTGGATATCCTTCTGTTCATTTTGTGTGAAAAAAGAGACTTGCTTTTCTCTCCATTTTCTATCGGTGTCCATTATCTATATCACTATGTAACACAATTTTAGTTCCTCGGTAGTAAGTGTTATTTCCTAATTGCTTAATCCTAAAAAGTATGGAAAATGGCTATTATTCCCCACAACTTTGCCTTCGTGACCAGGGCAGTGATATTTTGAAATGTACCTATTTTCAATGAGAAAACTGGCGAATGTGTGTGTTTTCGTTCACATAAAGTCAGAAAAAAACACATGAATCAAAATTAACATGTATATTTATACTAAAGTAATACAAAAATGACTACAAAAGATTTAAAAGTGAGTCGTTTTTAGAGCTTTATGATTATACTGGAAATCACTTTCATGAATCAGCCCCCAAATGTACTCCCATCATGTTCTCGTTATACTGTCCTTGGTAGCGGCGTTAAAAGTCCAGTATATCCTGGTGAAAGTGCTCGTCTTGCTTCTCCGAGTACGCTCCCCTGTTCTTGAATTTATCAAGATGAGCATCAAGGATATGGACTTTAGGGACATCCTATAGCCCATTGTGCCATAGTTCTTCACCAGGGTCTCAACCAGCTCCACATACTCTTTGGTTCTATTGGGTAAAGTCACGTAGGTGAAAATAAAATAACAAAAAATCACTGTTATTTTATTTTCACCTACATGACTTTACCCAATAGAACCAAAGAGTATGGATCCTAGCAGTCACGAAAGCTTTAAATCTAGAACAGCTCCACATAGTTTTCAGCCTTGTGATTGCGCAGGAAGCCAAGAACCACTGCGACAAAACTGTTCCAAGCTGCTTTCTCCTTACTAGTGAGCTTCTTGGGGAATTCATTGCACTCCAAGATCTTCTTTATCTGTGGTCCAACGAAGACACCGGCTTTGACCTTTGCCTCAGACAGCTTAGGGAAGAAGTCTTGAAGGTATTTGAAGGCTGCCGACTGCTTATCTACAGCTCTGATATTGTTTAATGAGGCCCAATTTGATGTGCAGTGGTGGCATCAGCACCTTCCAGGGGTCCACCAGTGGCTCCCACTTGACGTTGTTCCTCTCCACAGAGAACTCGGTCCGCTGTGGCCAGTTCCCGCCTGTGGTAGTGCGCCTTGGTGTCCCTGCTGTCCCAAAGGCAAAGATAGGGAAACTTGGTAAATCTGTCTTGGAGACCCATCAGGAATGCCACCATTTTTAAGTCTCCGATGACCTCCCAGCCGTACTCAAAAAACTTCAAGGCGTCCAGCAAGGTCTTGATGCTGTTGTAATCCTCTTTGAGGTGCACTGAGTGAGCCAGGGGAAGAGACGGGTACTTATTACCATTATGGAGCAGCATGGCTTTGAGACTCCTGGATGAGCTGTCAATGAAAAGGCGCCACTCATTCTGGTTACAGGCAATTCCGATTGCCTCGAACAGACTGGTCACATTTTGGCAGAAGCAGAGCCCATCTTGGCGGGTGAAGAAGCTGCAAAAAGGTTGACGCTTCCTCTGATCTGCGACTTGCACACTTTCATCCAACAAGTTCCACTGCTTGAGCCTTGACGTCAAAAACTCGGCATTGGACTTGGTGAGACCAAGATCTCTGATCAAGTCGTTGAGGTATTTTTGGTTGGGGTAGTATGGGTTTCTCTCCTCAGCTCCACCTCTGAAATTGTCATCTGGATCTACAACGTCTTCCTCGCTCTCTGACTTGCTGCTCTCTTATAAAGACGGTTGCTTTCTCTCCGGAGGAGTGGGTACGGGGAGCTCATGGCAGTGTGGCACTGGGGCAATGGATGAAGGAAGGTCCGGATACATGATAGCAGGTGCATTCTTGCCAGTCCGACGTTTGGAAGGGTCCACCATGCAGAAGTAGCAGTTGCTTGAGTGTTTAGTGGGTTCCCGCCAAATTCTTGGGATAGAGATTCTAGCAATAGTTTTAATATATGATATATTTTTTCAATAACATTGAAAACTCTAAAACATTTGAAAATGTAAAACTTTTACAATTTTTTTTTACAAATTTTATGACGTAAAATTCCGAGTCACAATTGTCCATCTTACCTTCCAGAGTTTGTTTGCATTGCTCGCAGGTGAAATGAGGTGCCCAGGGTTTGTCTTGATCCCCGACAGGCATGCCGACATATGCCTTGTTGGCCTCACACATCTTAGCAGATGCTTCCACAGAGTACTGTTTCGCTCTTGTCATGATAAATTGGCCGCAGATATAGCAAAATGTGTCTTCCGGATGTTTGCAGCCTCTTGATGCCATCTCAGAAAAATGCAGATATGTATCTACTTCGGCAGTTGTAACTAAACTGAGTTGGTGGGCTTAAGGCCCCTGTATTTTTATTACTATTTATATTACTGTAAAGTTCTAGAATGTTCTCGAAGTTACTCCAAGTTTACTCACCACTGAATATATCTGCAATGTTCTGGAAAATAGGTACATTTCAAAATTTCACTCACCTGGTCAAAAAAGCAAGGTTTGTGGGGAATAATAGCCATTTTCTGTACTTTTGAGGCATACGCAATTAGGAAATAACACTTACTACCCAGGAACAAAAAAATAAAATTGTTACACAGTGAATTATTAGATCATAATACAGTTTGTAGGAGAATTTGTTACATTTATATTTTATGATCTCTCTTCCTTAGGTGCTGTACTCTTGCTGTCAAATGAGTGGATCCATGTGTAAAGTGCTGGCTGATACACCCAAATTCTTTATTTCCACATTGCATATTCTGCAAGGAAAGGTACCCTTAAACAGCTGAGCTCCTTTGATCATTTTAGACTATCTTTGTTTAAAAATACTCGATTATTAATCATAACTTGGAAATGTTTTTTATGTAATACAGTAGTACCCTGATTTACATATCTCACTTTTACATCATTTCACAAATACGTCGCCACTTTATTAATACCACTACGCTCTTTGTGTCGCTTCAACCCACACTTATGTCGCTGACAGCATCGTCCTTCCTTCCTCGTATCTGTCGCCTCAGCCTTCGCCTCCAGTGTATTTGACTTTTATATATAGTTAAAAACGTAGACTTTGTTCTTTTTTAGATCTGTTATGGCGGTCGGTAATTTTAAAATATAATTTGTATAACAAACTGCATTTGTAAGCACTCGTTAATTGGCCAATAGCACATTGTATAAAGACCCACAATGCTTGTGCAGTTGTTGGTGCTTGCTCACCACGTGACTGCCTTCCTGTTTGCCTGTGGTTCCTCTTGCCTCTTGAGTCGTTCTCTCTCTTCAAGAATGAGTGAATTCTGTGCGTGTAATAATCTCATTGTAATATCAATATAAAATTATCTCTACATGTTACCAGATGAGGGCTGAGTGAGAGGTAATAGCTCTTTTGAAGTTCCTTTTTTTTTATTGCTTTTGACTTTAAATATTTGGCCGACAGATTTATTCTTTTTGCCGTTGTACAAATATGAATAATTGCTGTGCACAGATGGAACTGACCGACATTGTTAGCAGCCAGGCGTTTGAGCTGGTGCTGCATCTGTTCACTGTGCTGCTCGTACAGCTGGGCCAAGTTCCCCCAGAGTAAGTACCGCTGTGTAGAGGTTCCCAAACTCTGTGTGTGGCAAGCCAATTACTTGGTGGTGCATTGCAAGCACAGTGGTTGAGCGTGGCAAAAAATATTCTGCAACAGAGCACAAGTGACTGCCAGAATAAGAGCTGGCAAGATGGCAGTCAAATCCTTGGAATGCCTTGTAGCATAATTTGTATAATTGCACATGATTAGTATTATCATTTTAGTTTAACACGTAGGCTTTCGCGACCAATATTATTCATAATAAAGGTTTTTGGGTTAGATCGCGTTATTTATAAATGTGTCGTAACCCTCCACCACCCGACACGGCCAATCAGCAAAAAAAGTGTCACGTTGACAAAAGATGATGCATCATCGATGATGCTGGATGTATTTACCAGCGAAACGTCGTACTCAAACTGTAAATGTTGTGGATTCACTCTTCAACACACCGGTGGGCTAAAGTAGTGAATTATTTGTCTTTTGTCAACGTGACACTTTTTTTTGCTGATTAGCCGTGTCGGGTGGTGGAGTGTTACGACACATTTATAAATAACGTGATCTAACCCAAAAACCTTTATTATGAATGATCATTTTAGTTTGCATAAAATTCACTATAATGTGCTTAAAAGAAAAAAATACAATTTAGTTAGTCATGCTAGTTAAGCATTGAGGCAGTAATGTCTGCATTATTGCATTGGGACCAAAGCTACACAAATGTTCAGCTTGTTGGTGCTCAATCATAAGCTTATTGTTTGCGATGTCATGAACAATTAAAGCTACCTTTCTCTATTAAATGTTGAAATTGCATAGTAATTAGTAATTTTCTAAATGCTTGCAGTTATCGTGTGCATTAAGACCAATGCAAACTGGTGTAAGTGGTTTTGTATGCTGGCAACAGTGAATAAAATAGGGGACAATTTATACCTCACCGCATAACCATTGATGTGAAATAAACCAGTTGTTTCAGAATTGTTGTTGTTTTAAAATCACTTTTGGTTGATTTTTAGGCTGGAAGAAATGGCGAAATATATTGGGTCAATATTTGTTGATTCACAATTGATCACCCACATTGTAAGAAACATTTAATTTCTCATTCTTTTAACAATGCAATGATAATATAACCTTAAAGTAAATCAAATATTGTAACATTTTTGGATTATTCTTTAAAACTATAATTTATTTTACATTGGAACTTTTTCCCACGTATTTTGGTTTCGTCTTAAATGTGTAGGAATGTGTAACAATTTTGACAAATGCCTAACATTGTATCTTACAAAATACATTGGTTTTCTTTTTAAAATAACTTTCACAGGCATACATTCTCTGTTACTGGTTTGTTTCTTGCATACGTAGGAATACATTACGTGGATGTATTTTAAAACCACAACACCATGGTGTGCTACATTTGACAGTGTGCCACAGGAATTCTAATTTCCCAGATGACAAGCCTGGGCTCAGCTGCAGAAGTCAACTTTGAGGTTTTACTCAACTCTTCCAAGGCTGCTCTAACCAGCCACATTGAGGTACACGGTGGGATTTGAGATCAATCTCCTACATATTTATGTGCAGCTCACAAGTCATTTATTATACTTTTGGTATCCTGGTAATTCTTAAGGAGCTTTATGGTGGAGTTAGTAGATATGTTGCTTTTTGATTGTGAATATTATAATGTATTATAATGCACAAGCTTAACATTGGACAAAAAAGAAAGTGGATGAGGTTGGTATTTATTATTTTTTAAAGTTAATAATCCACTCTACATTAAAAATGAATGCTTTTAAAAATAAAGTTTTTGGCGAGGAAACAATATTGCTTACAGCTTACACTACTTAAATTCGAACAGATGGATAAGCTAAAAGTTAATTTTTTTCAGCTTTTTATACGGTTCCCGTACGGATTTGGAGTCTGCGACGGCCTCCTCCAGCTCCTCTTGCAGTTCCTTTGTGAGGTAAAAAATTACCGAGGGCGTTAGAAAAAGAGTGCATGCCTTTGCTTCACTTGGCAAACAACCACACATTTTTGGCGCAATCAGTCTGGCTATATATGTGTTGTTAGGTTTCCCTTGAAAGTGTATGCAAAATATTGAATGTATAATATATTATTGGGAGAGTTCTATTATCCAGTCATATTTTTCTTCTTTTTTTTAAGAGAGAAAGTAATCTATAATGTTTTATACATGTGTGATATCTGGAGGACAAATGGCATTGTTTAGCAATTATTTAGTGTTTTACGTATTCTGTTCCAGGGTGAGAGGGAGTTGGTGCAGGGCTTTGCGGAAACTGAAGTGTGGAATCTGATGTGGCACCAATTGGCAGTCGGTCTGCATCTCTCAGTGTGTGGCCCTGTGATGGAAGGTGACACTCCACGATCAGATGCCCCAGGCTTGGCTCCTGACTGGACCCTCATCTCTCCTATCGGTATGCAATGGCACTAACCTTAATGCATTGTATTATATTTCTGCCAATGACCATATCACCTGGAATTGCATCCATTCTCTTCAGATTTCGGAAGCTAAGCGCGGTTAAACCTTGATAGTGCTTGGATGGTGGGACCACCACACACACACACAGAGGTTGTCATAGGCTACTGCGTGGCTATGTAGTGGTCAGCATAGTGCAGTGCAGCAAAGGCCTTTATTCTGTACTCTTGTGCTTCCACGTCTGTGTTCCCCAACTTCAACCTGCACTCATCAGCATGTTGAAGTATGGTTGAATATTCTCCACAATCCTGGCTGTTTATTTTACCTTATCGTGTCTTTGAGGGAGGAAATTTTACAGACCTAATATGCAGAGATACTATTTGTTTTCTATCATTGAGAAAAATATGAATTTCAGAGATGTTAAAATACACATACCACAAACTGGTTGTAAACATGTATCCATATAACTAGATTGTACATTTTAAAAAGGTTTTCTCCTTTTTTGGAAATATATTTGAGGAGAATTTTATAACGGAGGAAATAAACAACTATTTACAGGAAATAAAACACTGGATGCCATTAAGCAATATACCATAATGTATATGTTTAGTGCTCAGATTAAAGTACTTTTTAAATATGAACAACTCATTTGGTTGGCATCCTTTGTCATCCTCTTCTCCATATATTAAATAAATATTTGTATAAATGGACACTTTCTAAAAAAAAATCTGCCATCTAAAAAAAACCCTATGTTTAATATTTTAATCTTGCAAGGTTTGTTTTATATAAGTTAGGCAAATTATGAACAAGTATCTACCCATTGTGTCAAAATTCTGAAATAAATTGTATTTTGTTCAGTCTTTGTTCTTTCACTTTCATGGAAATATGCATAATTTTCATTTTATTTTTATCTCAGTGAATATGCAGACGTCCCCGGGTTTCTCAATAATCTTGCATTTACCAGTGTTAACTTCTGCCATTCAGGAACACTGGCCTTGTTGAATTTGGCACAGTTTGTTTTTGCTCAAGAGCCACAGCACTGCATTATCCTGCTCTCTCGGTCCAATTCTGTGGTGGCGGCCGTACTGCTCAAGCTTCTTACTCAGGATTTCCTTATTCATCTCAGCAGGTACGTGTTATACCACTTAGCTTGCCAATGCAAATTATATCATTCTCTGCCTCATTTCCAAGTTGTTTTAGGATATAGACGATGTATTACATCATATTAAGGCTATGGGGAGTAAACAGGATTTATTATAATTTTATGAAGAAGAATATATAATTTACATTTCATTGTACATCATTGATTCATATGTGCTCATGTGTTTAATTGAACCACGTGCCTCGATATCCATTAGGTATATAACCATGTAGAAATTAACCACCCCTGTCGAGTATTTAAGTGACTTGCCACCGTTTGAGGTCACAATTCGATGCAAATTATAAAAACAAAAATCTCATGTTAATTTATTGGTGTTTTTTATCACCTTTGTATAGTTTGTTTTCCCCATCAGCCTAAATGCGAAATGTTAATATTATTTTTGTGGTTCCACGCATGTATTAATTTTAACACATTTCAATCAATTAATCAATCACTGCTCCATGCCTAACAGTCATGCCAGACCTCACCTGCAAATTACATTTCAAATTTAACTGAAGTTGTAGGCTTGGCACAACAGAAGGTACTTTGCAGATTTAAAAAACATGTTTAAGGTGCATTAGCATACTCTCACACAACAGACCATACAATCCTCTGGCTTAATATGTGAAATTAATGACTGAACTAAACAGCTTTTTCTCCATATTTGTCCCTTCAGCCCAGAAGTAAAGGACCAATACGATCTGAGTTTGAGCTCACTTGTTGGATCAGTGGTGCTGCTCACCTGCCAAATCCTCTGTTTCCCTTTTGCAATGGACGTGGAAGACGCAATGCTCACGGATGTTCTGACCACGCTGCGTGACACACAAATTCTAACCCGCCTGATGCAGGTACATCATTCACATCACATTTGGTCTTGCATATTTCAGTGACTTTTTTTAAGCTTCCATTGTTGCCATTGTTTTTGAGAAAAATATTATTTGTGTATATATTTTCTTACCTTACAATTGCGAATGTAGTAACAAAATAATCTTAGCCAAAATCGTGGGAATATATTCATTTGTAAGATGCGTTTATTTTTAAAGCACAGCATTTACAAACTGCAGCAGATGCTTGTTGATTTCATATTTGGAAGAGTTTCTTCAACTTAAATGTTTTACTATAATCACCGTAAGGCATTTCATGTAATCAAATCTTGAACATTGTAACCATTGCAGGTGTGCATGCACCAGCTGTCAGAGAAGCAATTGGAGGTTCCTCTAGGACTAGTGTCTCGACTTGTGCTCAGTAATGCTGAATTTTTGACAGAGTTTGTGAGGTTAATGAGTGAACAGGAGACTGCAAAATATTTGTCTCGCCTTCTGGCATCGCCTTCTTGCCCTCCTGCCACGCTTGTTGACGTCCTCTCAATATTCAGTCATGTTGCACGGTAAGGGCACACTTATTAGAAACCCACAAAGATGCCGACTTGAACACGTGTACATTTTTGTACATCACTAAACGACTTGTTTTAAATTGGGCAAAAACATATCCCTTTGCAGTAAGAATAACTTTTTTTTGACAGTATACACTGGCACAGAGCAAAAATGCTTTCTCTTTGATTACTATTTAAAATCATAACAAATACCAAACAGAAATCTCCTGGAGTATTTTTTTATCACAATTTTTGTAAATATTTTATTGATGGGTTTAGTTTGCGTAATTTTGTTTTTGAGTGAACGGATATGTGGTAGTAGATTCGAGACTAACTGTTGAAGTTACTAACAAATGTACATTTTCTGACGTGAGGTAATGCTTTTATGTTTTCATAAATGGTTTGGGAAATGTGAGGTATATTTAATATTTTTAGCCTACATGTAAACTTATACATACTTTATCCGTTTATAGGGAGGTAAAGTTACCACTTTTGAGTTACAGCATTTATTATGATTGCATAACAAAAAGTAGATCAAACATTGGTTTAAATAGTTGCATATCAGTGATGATTTTAAGTGGGTATTTAGAAGGATTCTGTAATCCTTTTCTGCAATGTTTTTTTAACAGAACAACACCAGAGTGTGTTGACCAGCTCCTTAAATTGTTTTCTGGAAATGAATTATCTACCGGTTCTTTGTCACAAATGGTAAGAAAACATAAGGCTTAACAAACTCAATATGAACTTAATGCAGTAAATTTACAGGAAATAAAACGATTTCAGCACTGTGTCGTAATATATATCTGTGATTGTTAAAAAAAATAACAACGTATTTTGCAATAATGTGCAGATGATAATATATCACTTTAAGGTAGAAACATATCAATGACACTTATATGCATGTGGTATTTAAGTAATTGTTGGTTCATTGCAGTTTTTGATATTTGATGAACATGACATTTGGTGGATTGTGCTGCCATATGTAATTGCATTTTTACACAGTCTGAGGATTATTTTTCAGAAGGGTACAGCCTGGGATATTAGGCTCTGTCTCTACACAGATGGGTCTTTGTATACCGTCTCTTACAGGCAACCCACCACTTATGCCCGCTGGTGTCTTACACACTCATACTCCGTGTAATCCACCAACTGCACGTCCTGAATCACAGATTTGTACCATAAATGTTTATTTTTTTTAGAATGCTATTGTCAAATATGCCTTGGCTTTGTGTAAATATAAATTCCCAGGTGTGAAGAATTATGTTCACTTTTCTGTGCATAACAATGGCACAATGAGAAATGTCTTAAAACCTCCCATCTCTGCCAACCCAGCAGTATAAATGGGTACACCGCAGATCCTCAATCTGCAGGTCACGTATGGTGGAGTAATGCATGGTTACTCCCAACTTCATCCAAGACGTTTGGCCAGCGGTGAAGCATAGGCCAAAGTGCTCTCTAAAGGGGAAGCTCCTGGAGGCATTTCCACCACCAGGGATGTGAACAAGCAATTACAATGCAGGGGCCTGAGCAAGCAATGTACCTTTCACTCTGTGCATAAATCATCATGCGGGGACTGTAAGAGGTTGTCACCGTATGGCTGTTTAGTCTGGTTTCAGCTTGCTGCTCCGCGTGCTGAGCCACGAAAGGAGCACAGTGCGTGCACAAGCGTGCGGCCTCGTTGGTAACCTGCTGCGCCACTCTGCGGCGCCGTGTGGGAGCCTGGCGGTGGGCGGCAGTGAGGTCCTGTCACAGCTCACGGCTTGTCTGGCGGACGGCGAGGATGGAGTGCGGCGCTCGGCCAGCCTGGCACTGGGGAATGCTGCTTACCATGGAGCAGGGCTGGATGCGTCAGCTCTGGCTCCAACTGTGCCCCACATCACCAGACTGCTGCAGGTGATTCGGCAAGACTTAAAAATATCATATCTTTGAGCCTTGTGATAGCACATTATATGTCATGTTACTATAAATCCCGTAGACAGCACACACAACTAACAATGTGTATTTGGCATAATTACCACCGAATCAGGACAGACAGAACGATTTAGCTTGCTGCCATTAAACAAAGAAAACTGAAGGGCTTTTGGGCATGTGAATAGAGCCAGCAAAACTATTCAAAACCCATCCCCTAAGGCATCATTGAGGGGACTATAAAAATATCACACCCGAGACTGACTTGGATTCAGCATACAGGAGACTGAATGGGCTTAAACCACGACGGAGGTTGAAGGCAAGATGGAGAGAGATCACCACCACAGTTGCTAATACAGTGTCCCAACAACCTTGTCGTTATTCTGTTCATGGGAAATCGATGGATGGATGGATGGATAGACAGACAGACATTATATATCATCGGGACATAATATAGCTAAGGCCTCTCTAACACTGCATCTTTTAACGTCTGTAAACGAAAGCAAAAGCTAACGTCCATGTCCACTGTGTGACGGTGCGAGGACCCCCTGGTGAGGATACGTTGCAATGCTGCAGCCGCGCTGGGGAATCTGGGAGCCGTGGAGGGACTGCGCGAACAGCTGGTGTCCTGCCGGGCGCCCCAGCAGTTGGTGGCGGTGGCCTGTGATGACGTCCACCTATCTGTGCGGGAGGCTGCTCTCGTTGCGTTGCGCAGCATGAGCAGAAGCCAGAAGCTCCGAGAGGTCTGTTTTCAAGAACCGTTATCAGGTTGTGGAAATTTTCCTTAGCCGGAGTTACTTATTCTTCTTTGCCGTTTCCAATGAGAATTACTGACTTATGTTTAAATATAGAAGAGGGTCCAATTGAGAAAACGTGTCTGGCCAGTTAAACCTTGAATAATATTGCGTGTACATAAATTACAGGCATGTAACCTCTGCGTTTCAGTTTTCATCATTGATGAGGGTGGTAAAGTAGTGTAAGTTTTTTTTATCTTGTTTAGAGTCTGAAATGTATCTCTTTACATAAATTGTATCTCTTTACCAACTCTTGCTGACCATTGTGGTGAAGTATAGTCAGACAACCCCCATGGCTAACACAGCATCTGGAGGCCTTCATCTAGCAGTGGGCTATAAATTATTATTCGGAATAGTATATTCAATAACCTGAAAATGCATCAAACGTATCCCATAGAACAGGTAAGAACTCTACTGTGCACAAATCCTGGATTAATAAATCAATTAAATGTGATAATAAAAAGCCATTAATTATCCTAAAGTTTACAGATTTGTGATGTGTAAAATTGCAAGTCACTTTAATATGGGCCATACTTAAATATGAATCGCCAAATGTTTGTGTGTTTTGATACTAAATGTAACTGCACGCCCATTTACTGTAGGTGCTGGTGAACATGAAAGCTCAAGACAAACTTTCTGCATCCATGGGCAGCATGCGGCCCATTACCAGGGCACCGGCTAGTGGCTTTGTCGCTGACCAAAGCAGTACACTCGCAGTATCGCATCACTGTGTCAAACTCATCCACGTACTGCAGGCCTGAAGGAGATTCTTAAGTAAGTGTTCATAACTTGAGATTATACCGGTGACATCACAATCTGTGACTTCCAAGGTTCTTCTAATTACATTAACTCGTGACAAAACATGCAACATTCACAAATGGAACGTCATCAATTCTTACGCACTTGATGCAGTACGTGCATTGGTATTCGTCGATGAATCAATGCACATTTCCATCCTAAATAGAAATGATGGTGGTGATGGTTGCAGTGATGATCGCATCCGATATTAGGAAGCCACTGGAGTGATGCATCTTTAAATCTAGATAGAAAACTAATTTCTTAAGAACTGATTTTTGTGTTTAGTTTGTCCTTCCCCTGCACCTCTGATTAGCACAGTTGGCTACGTGCAGTGTAAAATACATTCAACATAAGTTATGGTGGTTGTGATAATGGTAGTTTTGACTTAAAACTTTCGTGACTGCAGGAATTGATAATCTTGGTTGTTTCGGTAAAGTCACGTAGATATAAAATAAAATAAAAAGTACAATTATAAATTGAAAATAAATGCAAAAAACCCACGACGTTTCGATCGCAACACAAGCGGTCTTTATTTTCTATCTACGTGACTTAACCGAAAGAACCAAGAATATAATGGTAAAGGTGATAATGGTGGTGTTGGTATTTACAGTGGTAGCTGTGATGGCAATGGAATGTTGATAGTGGCAATGGGATGTCCACTTACCTATATGTACGGTTTGTATACATTGTCTTAGACATTGCCTTAAAGCAATGGTTGCCCATGCAAAATGGCTGTCAAAAATACCACAGAAAATGTGAGCTACTGCATTCGCACGGGTGTACAAGCACAGATCAAACAATACAACTCGCCACATTCTGCCCAACACCTCTGGTCAGCTTGCCTCGCGGACATGTCACATGTGAGGTGTCAACTCTGATTTGAGGTAGAAACGAGCCTCGGAGGAGCTGCGTAGTCTTCATCCTTCAGGGTTGAATACACACACACATATATGTCTCACATTTACTTAAAGCACTTAGACTGCTGAGCCTAAAGCAAACCATTTATATTCTCGGTTCTTTCGTGACTTTACCGAAAGAACCAAGAATACGAATCCCTGCAGTCATGAAAGCTTTAAATCAAAGCAAACCGTTTAGTTTTGTTGTGGAACTCGTAAATACATCAACATGCAGGATACACTTGCCCACCTCCTTACACATTTGAATGCTTTGTGTAGCATATACACATTATATTTACTGTATGTACAAGTACAAGCTCTATTCATAGAGTTTACGTAATTGCTTTATTACAATTAAAGACATAATGAGCTTCGTGTTGTCATTGACCTTCGATAATGCATACTCCTCCTTCTGCAATTGTGTGTGCAAACAGATTCAAGTAATTCAAGCAAGGCAATCGCACAAGCAGGATCTGTCTGTGCATTAAGCACCTTGTGAGTTATAATGTACAAGGAGCAATGATGCAACATAACATGTGTGTTAAATGGGGTAGTTGCCATCCAAACCCCGAAACCAAGTTAATTCACAGCTTGCACAGTGAGCGTGCTTCACAAAACTCTTTTTGGAAGGAACTCATGCTGAAGACGAGGACAATAAAGCCAATGTGATGGGGTAACTAAAAGACATTTTAACTTCCAGGACGGCCTTCAGATTGCTGACAATGATGTACTGATCTAGAAGGAAACCATTCCTTGGGAGACCCATTTTAGAAACTCAGCCAAATTCCTGTGGATGTAAGACTTTCCACAAAAAAGTTTTACCAGGCCCTTTTATATTGTATTGAAAAGTTGTTTTGTGCAGATGTTATGGTGGGCTAGGTGAACTGAATATTTCGTATTTACATAAATATGGTATTTCCCCAAGAATTGTCAGTTCCTACACAACCTTCTAAAATGAACATAGGATAGCGCTTTCCTTCCTCCTGGCCTGTGCCAACGTGCAGATAATTGTACGTCAAAAAGATACAGGCATCCTTCATCGCACACCTCCCCCCTTAACTGGGGTCCTTACAAACCCCATTTTTAATCACGCTGAGATTGACAACAAATAACTTGAGCTTTATCTTTAATACATTGCCATACAGGAAGACTAAGAAACGTGTTACAACAGTTGGCAAACCAACTTGAAATATGGAATCAACAAACCACTAACAATCAATTAACATATTCAATCACACAAGTGTCTGAGAAGTAAATCACCAATAGCACAGTACATAAGCATGGCACAAAAGCGGATAAAGAATGTCATTGTAACCAACCACAAATGTCGAGCGTTAAGATAACATGTGGCTGGTAAGATTGTGTTCACAAAGGAGAAGTATGACTATCTAGGTTCCAACGCTGATAGCATCATGTGCATGCCCTTTGGGGCGTAGCAGTCCCCACAAGCTGCCACCAGGCAATCCTATCCTGCGCTAGCCGCCACAGTGAATACTAGCCAAGGCCGTAGTGTCGAAGATCGGCCTCAATCGTGCGTGTCCATGTCGGCTATGGTCTGCCTCGTGGGCGCATTCAGTCCCATGGTGGGCCATCGCGCACAAGGCTCCGGCGTGATCTCTTGGGCAATGTGTTTGAAGAACCTAAGTCTTCTGGCTTTAACCGTTGCATGCCCTGGCGGACATCCTGTGTGAAGGCGGACCTCGGTATTGGTAATGTGTTCACTGAAGTGGATGCACCGTCGCAGGCACCACTGGTCGAAGGCATCCAGCTTCCTGCTCATTTGACAATGTCTCTGAGCATACAGTAGTACGGGGAGGATGTATACATTGTGTAGTCGAATCTTTGCCGCTGTTGTAATACTGGAGCGCCAGATGCGTCTGTGGAGCTATTTCATGCACTCGCATGCAATTGAGATTCGCCTTTTAATTTCTATCTCGCTGCTTCCAGTGTGTTGAATAGTGCAGCCGAGATAGGGGAACGATCTTACCAAATCAACATTTTTGCCTGCTATTGCCACTTCAAGCAAGTTGTGTGGCTGCTCATGAGTGGTCTGTATTTTTGTTACAGTCAGGTTGATTTCAAGGCCAAATGGGAGGGCTTTCACTATGCATGATCTCCAGGGCTAGGAGTAAAACTTTAAGCATTTCAGCTAGCAAGGCAACGTCATCTGTATAGTCCAGGTCAGTGAATGCCTCGTTGCCTACAGTTACTCCAAGCAGGCATTTGTGGACCATGCACTCCAGTATCCAATCCGGTGGGGCAAGGAACCAGGTGCAGCCTTGCCTTTCACCACTTTGGATACTGAACCACGTGGACAACTCTCCGTCTCCACGAACACAACTGATTGTGTTTGTGTAGAGCTTCAGATTCACAATCTGCGTTCATCCAATGTTTGTGAGAAACATTCAAAGAGCTTTGCGGTCGACAGATTCAAAAGCAGCCTTGAGATATACATAGGCTACCCAGAACGGACACCGAAACTCTACTTGTTTGTATGCGAGGTCAATGTGATGATGCAGTCTATGGTGGAACATCTGGGTGTCAAGCCACTCTGTTCCATGCAGCACACTTCCGAAAGTTTATTTTTGACTCTTGCTAGAAAAATTTAGGAAAATCACTTGAATTGCTGTTCAAATGCCAGGTCTGACAGTTTTTTTTTTATGTATCGGGGAGACTCGCAATTTCTTGCTCGGGGATCGTTTGAGTCTGATACTGATGGTTGCGATAACTGGGCAATGATGTGTCGAACTCCAAGCTCCAGTAAGCTCTGCAATTTTGCATAGCTTTCCATCTGGAATTAATGAATATATGGTCAATTTATTTCTGTGTAGCCGTCGTTTGAAAACCAGGTGAATCTGTGAATGTCACGGTGCTGGAACCAGGAGCCACAAATTCTAAGCCCATTTTCTGCGCAAAAATGTAGCCTTTCAGAATTGTCGTTGGGGGTGCCGCTGCCATGTAGGCCGATCACAGTTTGGGAGCCTTCTCTAAAGTGCTAGACTGCATTGAAATATCTGAGGTATATAATGAGGTCCGGTCGTTTTGTTAGGTTCCCAGACTGTTCCAGAGACTGGTAGGAGTGGAATTTGATGTCGGGTGCTTCGTTCATTGGTGCGTATGCCACGGCAATGGATAAATCGCCTAGGGTTATGCCTGTCATAGACAGGGTGCCATTCTAATAGGGCTGACTTGGCTGTCGGATCAAGGGCAATAGCCACCCCAGCAAGTAGAGGGGGAGCCATCAGAAGGCCCCGACTACAGGATGGTGGTTTCCTCCAGCGGTTTCAACAGCGCCACACCAACGTACCTCCTGGAGGCCCATGATACGGATTTTCGCCCTCTCAAGTTCTTTGACGTGTGTGTATTGCACCTGGTTGGCAGAGGGTTCTGATGTTCCAGGTGCCGATGCGAGATGGTTTGCGTAGTTTTAGGTTTTCGGTCCCTGTCCACCGTAGCACACTTGTCAAAGCTGGCCGGTGAAAAACCAGGCTGCGTGCTCCTTATTAACCCACGCGACGAGCGATGCGGTATGAACACGTACTTGGTAGTGTTACTCGTGGGGAATTCTTAGCAGTTATATTCCTCTGGTCTCTTGCCAGGAGGCCAGGGTAGGTAGCTGGGAGACTTGATGTGTTCTCTTGAGCCGGCTACCCAGCTGCTCCTTTAACATCAGAGCAGAGGAAGCTGTTGCTGAGCGTCACGACAAGTCCACACGCCGGTGGGCCCAGCACACTGCAGCTACGGGGACAGCATCTGCTCCCTGGCCAGTTATATCATCGGATGTTCGCATGTAAAGACTCGGTGATGATCAGGGGGGACTGCGAGAAGGTGCCTGTACACACATTTGGCAGCGGGAGACTCGTGAGGAGTATCACGTCCCCCCCCCCCCACCCCACTCTGTTGGAAAACATCTGAAAAAGTTAAGTGAATACATTGGCTGCTATTAAGATTATCCAGGTTCATTACTTGAGAATAAATTTAGAAAATTATTTTAAAACGGCTCAAACAAGTTAAGCGACAGAGAGGTAATGCGATGGCTTTAGAAACGGTCTCAGTTTTGTATCTAACGTGACGAGCTTGGGCGTGTGTATTTTTGGCTTAATTCTCTGCAGGTCGGCGTGAACTTCCAGGAGGAATTTAGGAGCCTATGTTCAATTAAGATGACGTGGGTGAACTGAATTGAATTCTTTTTCTTCCTGTCCTGTATTGGTATAATGTATGTGCATGGTTTTAAAGATACACTGGATTTAACCTGTAAAGCTTTACCAATATAGATATTGTAGAAACATTTATTTTGTTATACAGGAGGGCGTCCCAACCCCGACGTCTGCATGTCCCCCCCCCCCCCCCCCCCGTGGTCGTGTGAACTTTTCTCCAGGTCCTCCGGTTTTTCTCTCCACATTTAGACGTGCGTTTCGAGTATTTGGCTGCTATAAATTTCCACATAAGCCACTTCGTTGAGCTATCATTTGTGGCCAGCCGCCATCTGTGGGCCTTACCTATTTTAGCTCGTGGTTTTATCTACAAAGTGGCTTAACAGTGGACTCAAAGGCAATAACATACCTCTGCTACTCTGGCAATATGACTGTTTCCCTTTCCCATTATATAATTATGCAAATTGGTCCATAATTTCAGTTTACACCAGCTTGTTTCATCTTGGATGTTTGCTACTCTGTTTAAATCTCTTGCAACATGTCTGTTTAGGATGGAGTCGTAGACCATACTCTTTGGTTCTTTCGTACGTGACTTTACCGAAATAACCAAAGAGTATGGATCCCTGCAGTCACGAAAACTTCAAATCTAGATTGAGGCGTAGACCAGTGACCTCAGATCAGCACTCTAGAACTCCCTCTAGTGGAGGCCCGCCTGCCAGCAGTGACATAAGCAGGAATGCTAGGACTGCATCTTTACGTTTTTACCTTAGATCTTTTTTAAAAATGTTCACGTCAACTTCCTTCACCTGTGTTAAGATACAATACTATAACGTGTGATGTCTTAAGGGCTAATACTTTATATTTTCAAATTGATATGTTTTTACGTTGCAAGGCAGCATTAATGTGTGATATTTTAAAATATCCTAAGATCTGTAATTTCCATACACATCAACTGATGCAATGGTTAACAGTGCCAGACAGAGCAAATGAGGTGATCAGTTGAAACAAAATAAATTATCGCAACACCATATGTGCAAACATTCTACATACAGTATAGATTTTTTTCTCGTGAGGTTTGTGGAAAAAAAATAATATTGCCAATTTTTTGCATTTAAGAATTCCAATTTGAATGTTGTACATTACATGGCGATTTTAATAAATATTAAATACCAATGTGAATGGTCAACATTTTTTTGCCATTTTTATATTATTTGGTGAAAACTGAAAGCGTGTTTTCTGTGGAATTGCTTAAAACAGATTAAAGCATTTTTGTTTCTCCCTTCATCTGCAACGAATCAATACATCTGAGGAATACATGCCTATTCCACAAACACCTGTGGTCATTTTTATTCAATATATTTCGTGATTATATACCCCGGAGTTTGCAATGTATACCAGTGTGAACTCACGGGAAATTTCAATGGAGGCATTTTATGAAACCGGCCAACTGGTTTCTGCAACAAGTATTAAACATTTCTGCAAAAATATTGTCACCAAGATTAGACTAAACCTAAGACTCGTTGGAGTATGGGAATGCCTTCACTTTAAAGATCGCGAAGTACTAATTCAGACATTTAAATAGTACATTTCATATATTACGTGGCACTTGCTATGAAACAAACATACTACACAAAGTAGGTACCCCGCTCCATCCTATCGTCTCCACCATTAACTCACCCACCTACAAACTGGACCTATTTCTGTCTGAGACCTTGCAAGTCCACCTCAGCTGTACTTAGCTCACTTGTATTCTTAGCTCTTTCGGTAAAGTCAACGTGACTACCGAAAGAGCTAAGAATATGAATTACTCCAGTCACGAAAGCTTTAAATCAAAATTCAGCTCACTTGGTTTCTGAAGGACATCTCACTGTCTCCAGATTATTTGCTTGTCAGTTTCGATGTCGTCTCTGTTCACCAATGTACTTGTATCTGACACCATTGCAATCATTGAAGACTTGGTCCAACAAGGACTGAATCCAGATGTACCAACTTTGGTAAGGCACTGCCTTACCAACACATACTTCACCTGGAATGGTACATTCAACAAACAAAATGAGG